ACAACAAATCAGAGTAAAGCAAGGGAATGTCAGTAAGAGTCAACAGAGCACTCATTAGATTTCAAAGTTTGATTAGCTAAACAAATGAGAATGTATGGAGGGGACAACCTTGAAAATCAGCCATTAGAATTCAGTTAGAATGATTCACATAGAGACTGCAGACAGGAGTAAGGAGGACCCTCCAATGAGTCACGAGGTTCAGAGTGGACCTTCTTGCTTTTCAAACCCCTCCTGGCACCTTGGTGCAGTTCAGCCCAATCTTAGTCTCAGACTTGGACAACAGTTTGTGCCTAATGAGTTATCCATACAAAGTTTATTGTAGTTTTGAGTAACTACGTGGATTAGTAATGTTTCATACTACATATTCACATGCTGTCAGTCACTTATTGAGGATCTGTCACAGGTGAGGGATCTCTTCACCTCAGGTAAAGTACTTCTAACCTTGAAAGGCATCCCAGCTCAAGGGGAGTCACTGGTGTGCAGTCCAGCTGCAAATTCAGGGACAGCTCAAATTTGGCTTATCCTCATGGTGCAGTAGTTGGCTGCTAGTCAACAGTACAGACAAGATAGATTTCATTTTACTATTGATATCTTGTATGGCAAGAAGTCAAGTGTATCTGTCACAGGCCAGGTTCCCACGCCTCCCCATCAGCTGCTCTGCCAGGCGTGACATCATCAGCACCTGCATGACCAAGTTCCATTCAATGCCCCATCAGCATTCCTTGGCAGTCCTGGAGTAGCAGTAGGACTTCATCTTAAACATAATTTCTAACCTAAAAGGATTGGTTCTATGACTATATTGCCAGACTAGATGCCCCTTGGGCTGGACCAGCACAGCCCTTCTCGTGTCTACAGCAGAAAATGACTGATGTTATTTTTAGGAGAAAAGGTTTTTAAAAAAAAGATTAACAAGAGTTGTGAAAGGCTCTGCATTTGCTTAACTGCCTCACAAAGAAGAGGAAAGAAAAGTGTGGCCCATTGCTTCACCAGGAAAGTTACTAAACAATGCAGTGGAGAAAGCTGGAGAAAGTAGTGCTGCATTTGCATCCTCCCTTATGCCCAAGGTTAATAGGATCAGATCCAAGGTAGCAGTTTTAAGGAGGAACCAGGCAAGAAGCTATGAAATAGCCTTAGAGCAGTTACACCAAGAGAGAAAGAGGAGGGGAAATGCAGCCAGGGCTGCTTGAGGAACTGGCTGAAACAACCTGGGAGCTTTTGCAAGCACAGGCAGGAAGGGTGGGGGCAGAAACTTTGTCCATCAACTATTGTTACAAAAGTGATGCAGCTCTGGCCAGAGCTGAGCCTCTGAATTTCACTTCTCAAAAACGTGCTACCATGAGCAGTGTGAAGATAAAACAATAACAAACACAGTGCCCTCCTTGCCTCAAATACCTCCTTAGCAGCAGAAGGTCCCCTTGTCCCTGAATGTGCTCAAGGCAGGTGGGTGAAATATCCATCACAGGTACCCATGCCAGGAGTGTGGAGTGTGTCCTTGCTGCCCCACGGGCTCTGCTCATTGCACAGAATAAACCTGACTCAGGCAGAGAAACAAAAGTAAAAGTGCTGCTTCTCCCAGTTTGGGTTATTTTAGGACACAATTGTAGCAGGAGGCACGTGATGAAGAGGGATAGCAGGGGGTACAGCCAAGGAAGTCTCTGCAGCTCCCCAGGAGCTGCTGCCTGATGTGGTCCACAAGCAGAGCACTCAGGGGAGAGCTTGGCCTCCACCATGCTCCCTGCCTGCTGGAAAAGCTGCAGGAATCCACGTGGGAAAGAATGGGGATGTGACTTGGGTCACAGTGTGAAAACCCAGAAAAAGCAAAGGGGAAATGAAAAAAAGAAGCTGAGGAGGAATGGTAAAGGATGGTGGTGGGTGGGAAGGACTGCAGTATACTTGGTTAGCATAAAAACAGAAGGAGGGAGGCCAGGGCAGAAGTGAGAAAACAGAAGATAATTGGGGAAAGAATAACAGAAAGAGGGATGAAGTGAACCAGAGAAAGAAAAGAGAGACCAGAATAGTCAGACACTGGGGGGAGGAAAATGGCTCAGGCCAAAGAAGACATCGACCCCTGGCTCGGAGGAGGAACAGGGAGGGTGAGGCTGCCAAACAAGCCAGTGAAGGAAGAGGAATGTGACTTAGAGCCACCAGGAAGGGGACGAGCAGATGCTTATCTTCACAGTGCCCAGCCCTAGCATGTCCTGCCTGCCTGCAGTGCTGTAAAACACTCCGAGGCAGCAGTGCAGAGGGACCTACAGAGGGTGATGGATGATGCAACCCCCCAAAAGATATAAAACCACACAGCTCTCTCAGTGCCACAGAGCAGGGGGTTAGTTCTGTGTGCTCTCAGCAGCCTTATTTGAGGTCGGTCCTGCCCTCCCCATGGGCCATACCTTGTGCTGTTGTGTCCACTCTGGGCTGCTTGGAGAGAGGGTGGCTTTGGCTGCCTGGAGCATGGAGTTCAGAGGAACACAGAAGCAGGTCAGCTACCGGGAGAAAAATCAGAGAAGCTTCACTGAAAGTGGCTGAAGTTACAGATTAAACTCTGCTGCAGGGTGTTTGCCGTGTCTGCTGGAGACTCCCTAGAACTGCCTTGTTGCAGAGCTGGCCCAACAGCACATCAGGACCTGGACCATGTCTGCTGAGTTCAGTTAATACTCCTTCTGTTTGTCCTTTCAGCCACCTTCCCATCATCCCAGCTGCAAGGGAGGCAGGCACTGAGCTCTTCTCCCTGGGATCCAGGGACAGGGTGGCTGAGCTCAAGGCTGCACCAGAGGAGGGTCAGAATGTACATAAGGAAGTATTTCTTCACAGCGAGAATCGTGATAACCTTGAACAGTCTTCCTGGAGAGGTGGTCAACGCCCCAGGTCTGTCAGTGTTTGGGAGGCATTTGGACAATGCCCTTCATAACATGCTTTAACTTTGAGTGAGCCCTGAAGCAGTCAGGCAGTTGGCCCTGAGAGCATTTTAGGTCCCTTCCAACTGAAATATCCTCTTCTATTCTAGGCACAGTCACATTTGCCCATCCCCCAGGGACAAGTGCCACTCTCCCAGGCACTGGTGGGTGGCCAGACATAAGGAATAGAGGTGGAAGGAGGGGAGGGCAAGCAGAGTGGCTGGAGGCTGTAGCAGACAAGAGAAGTGTGCTGAAAGGATTAATACTCCTTGAAACCAGCCTGACAGGAGCATATTCCCACCCAGCAGATGCTGTGCTGCCACACTGTAACCCTTGGAGGGCCTCTGGCACAGCAAGACCGAGTAATGCTATTTAAAGAGAACAAGATTATACATCACTGACTGAACTCAGTAGTAGCTGAAAGTGCTTCCAGCTTGTTGGAATTTCAGTTGAGCAAATCAGTGTAAAACAAATGCTTCTGAGGCTGCCTCCTTCCTCTTATTTACTTCGGAGAGGAAAGCCAAGTTCAGGTCAAGGGCTGCCTTTATCAGGGACCTTTCATGTGAAGGCACAGAAATCTGATCATCTGCTACCAGAGTGGCTGAGAAAAAGCAGTAATACCCCCAAAAGCCATAAGTGTGCATAGGCTTTTGCCTATTTTCTTACATCACAAGATAGCAGCAATAACAGTTGGTTGGATAGGTAGTTTATCACAAGACTTGTGTGTCCTTGGGAGCTGTTATCTCTGATGACAGAGGCAGGGATTGGGGTGGAGAGTGAGGGAGGGGTCTGGGAAAGCTGTGCTCTGGCATGAAGGGGCTTTGGTCCCAGCAGTGACAGTCTGGGGTGGTGCAACTGTGGCTCCCAGAGCAGGATCTGAATGGTCAGAAAGTAAAGTTTTCTTAGTGGTTTTCCTGTTCTTTCCAGTGCACATCACATATTTGAGCCAAGTTTTCAGAGGAACGATTTATAGAGAACCCAAGATGCAACCCACCATTTGAAGAGTTCCAGAAATCACTGAGAGGCTGAGTAGGAGAGATACACTTAGAATGCCACTAATACCAGCCTTAAAACAAAGGCTTTACTATTGGTCACTTTTATTTCAAGAACAGTTCACCCCAACCCCCTCCGTGAGTTTAGTGAGTAACTCAGGTAGCACACAACAAGCAGTCACATCCGGTAGAGCAAGAGCTCCAAACAAAGCAATCCCCACAGGCTGAGGGTTTTCCTCCTCCCTCTCTCAGTGAGAAGCAAGCCCAGCCCAGAACATGAACAGCTCCCTCATCCCACACCTGCAGGATACTTCACTAGCAGTAATTACGCAAATAAATAGTATCTCATGGAGGGGGAGCAGATGGCAACCACAGGTCATCTGGAAATCAAGTTATTGCTATATTCTTATGTATTGGACACTGCAGGTAACCCACTTGGTAACCACCAAGAAAGGTGACAGTCTCAGGTTGCCCTTGTGTTATCAGTTCATGTTGGACTGAAAGCTGTGGGAGGACAAGAGAGATCTTGTTTCATCTCTTCTCCCTGCCTGAAGGGCAGGAGTTTGTCATTTTCATGGAAACAGGTGGGGGCAGGGGCTCCCAAAACACTTGGAAATTCATCATGCCTGCCAGATTTTACCAAGAAGATCACACACACTGCTAAAAGTACATACTGCTAAAGGTACTCCCTGCTCCTGATTTGCAACAGGAGCTGCTGAGACACCTTCATGTGGTAAAGCGGCTGCAGTTTCAAATTTCCTGGAGAACAGGAGCCCAGTGTCACCCCAGGAGCTGAGCCAGAGCTGCTGATTCACCAGGGAAAATCAGGGCAAATGAGAGGTGCATGACATGGGCACGGGGAAGTATGCGGTCCTGCCACAGGCACACAAGGACAACCTGATACTTGATTCTATTTCCCTCTGCTGGCAGGACAGGCTGTGACAGCCAGCACCCAGGATCAGCTCAGCTAAAACAAAGTGGAACATGAAGGCTAATACGTGACTTGTCACCAAAGATTATCAGGTAGCCCAAGACTGATTACAAGTGATGAGCTCACAGCAGTGTCAGTGTCTGCAGTGTCTCTCCCCACACAGAATATTGGCCAGAGAGTACGAGTTTGAGAGGATAAGGACTGCGGGAAGAACCTCAGGGTGATAGAAAAGCAGCGGAGTCCTTCGCAGGACATCCAGAGATGTCTTTGTTAGGCATCATGCAGCTGGTTCTCTTTCAGGAGAATCTTCTCCCCAGGCTTGAAGGCAGGCATTCCCAGGTAAGGGCAGCTGGCACAGCGGAATGCATCCCCCAGGTAGCACTGTAAGAGAACACAAAGCACCATCAGTAATCAGGGGCCACTTTCAGGTGTCTTTCCCTGTGATATACCCCAATACTAGCAGCGTTCAAAGCTAGGCTGGATTAAGCCTGGAGCAACCTGGTCCAGTGGGAGGTGTCCCTGCCTGGGGCAGGGGGGACTGGGACTAGATAATCATTAAGGTGCGTTCCAAGCCCTTAACATTCTATGACGTTATCTCCAACTCGAGATGACATGCTCCTCAGCATCTATCAGCACAGAAGCTGCTTCCTTTCTACCCTCTTCTCAACATGTCTGGCTAGCAGAGCTGTGCAGGGCACTGGGCTCACATGGAAAAGCTGAGTCTCCACCCCACCTGGTGTGCCCAGGCATGGGGCAGCCCCCTGACCACCACAAGGTCCCTGTGGGCTCCCATAAGGTGATCCTCCCTGAGCAGATCACTGGTTAGCCCACGAGCAGGGGGAGAAAGGCTCACTGCTCACTCTGACTCCCTCAGGGGAGGGACTTGTACTGGAAGAGACAGCAGGACACAGGGCAACAGGCTGAAGCTCTGCAGAAGCTGCACAGGCAGCATGTGGAAGCAGAGTGCCAGCTCAGGCAGCAGTCATTAGAGGACATAGAGAACATGTACTGCAAACCACAGTATAGAGGCAAAAATCACAATTTACATTTCCACAGGCAGATTTTGGCTGTGAGCTCTTCTCCTGTTCCAGTTCTTCAGCCAGGCCACATGTGCTGTAGAAAAATAAAGAAGTCACCTACATCTTTCTGCTTAAAGGTCATGAGTCATCAACACTTGTTCCAGCCCTGATTACACGCAACAGCCCTCACTCTGTCACACGATACGGCTGACTCTGGGACTCCTGCTCCTCACTTTGTTCTTCAACACCATGGTTTGTACAGCAAGTGTTGAAACACTCCTCAAGTTCAAACTGAGTGGGAAATGACACTACAGCACTTGCTGTGTGTGCTATTTCTCCTTGAAAGCTGAGAAATCCATCAAGCTGCACAAACTGTGCAGCCACCTTCGAGAGAGCTGTTGATCATACCAGAGTGTTAATTTTTAGCAGTTTTGGTGTGGCTGATTCTCATTGTCTTTGCATTTACATTCAGATAATTAAGAAAGAACATGAACCATGAGAATTAGGGTCTGAAGAACAGCAAATTATCTACAGTCTTTTTAAAATTCCTCCAACTCCAAGGGTTTAATGCTGCACTTTAGGTTCACTGATATGCTAACTCCAGCACTGACCAGTTCTTGCAGGCTTTCTTTTTGCCCATTTCTTTGCAGGATGGAGCTCTGAGGGACGATGGATCTGGCTTTTTCAAATCCTCTGAATCCAACAGCTCATCAGAGTCCAAAAGATCCTGAAAACACACCATGGAAGACAACAGATTTGTCAGTAGGGAATGATATTGCTGAGTTACATTCAGGGAAACAATGCTGTCTATACACTGGTGTTAAAGTGCTGCAGCTGTGCCCTCTTATCCCTGTCTCTGCCCTCCCCACACCACTGGGCTCTCCAGATCCCACAGAGTAGATGAGATATTTTGCCTTAGGGAGGCTTTTCTACCTCTGAAGTTGTAAAGCTTCCCAAGAAGCATGTCTGAAACTATTTATAACAGGAAAGAAGGGGAGAGAGGAGGAACAACAGCAAAGCCTCACAAACAAAACCAGATACCATCTCTTCATCATTCATATCATTGGCAGAGAGAGTCCACAGCTTGGCAGTGGTTGGGTCCACAGAGGGTTTTCCTGGAGCCAAAACAAAGGAAGAAATGCAGTTATTCCAGCCTTTATCCCATCCACTCCCAATAAATAGAGTTCAACTTTGGAAAGCTCCATTTCACGGGTAGCACTGTAGAACTTTCTACCCAGGAACTGCCTCCCTGTTCCAAGGGATGCCTGTCCCTGCGAGGCAGGCAATCCAGACATTTAGCACACACCACTCCTCACCTGAAGGACCAGGTTTCTTGGCAAAGGAAAGTTTGAGCTGACTTGAGGATCCCACTTCAAAATTGGGCTTCCTGCCTTCTATCTGAATAATGAGCAGGTCGCTGCCTTGGTAGCCCAGATGCTCTCCGACCGACTGGGCCTCCTCTGGGGTCAGTGCTTCCTTTTGCAGCTGCAATGTAAGACTTTAGGTTAACCTCTTTATTTTAGCATCCAGTCCAGCATTCCAGTGAACAGACAATTGGTATTTTCAATCCTAAAATAAAACACTACCCCTGCAGTAACTAAAGTTGGTGCCAGGCAGGCTGCTCATCTGCAGCAACCTAGGGTAGCTAAGCACCTGTCACTCAGCAAGTCCCCAGGCAACTGCCTGAGAGGGTTTCTGGAAGTGGTTAGTACATACATACCTCCTTCACTTCCACCAACCCAGAGAGAGTCAGAGCCATGAGGAGTTTGGCTGCTGTCTTGATTCTGCCATTGTTACCTGGAAGATAGAAAAGCAGGAAGTAGGAGGAGGGAAGAACAAGTGTAGAGGACACCAAGAAACCTGGCAGAGCAAGACCTTTAGAAGGAAATATTCAAGTCAAACCTCTGCTGTAAAACTGTGCCCTTTCTAGTCAACAGCAGGAACAAACCAGAAAAAATATGAGCAGCTTGTTCATTAAAAAACAGTCTGAGGCACCAAATCTATTCTAGCTCTAAATCTTTTCTATAGATGCCCAAACTTTTCTCAACCCAATCAACACCCATCAAAAAATTGAAAAAAACCCATCCCAAAACCCACCCCAAAACCCAAACTCCCTCCCAAACATTTTTACCTATAAAAGTGAATGACTCATGAAGTTTTCAAAACAGGGACTCCTAAATGAACACTGCATTGAGAAATGTAATGTTCAAGAGCTTGTTCTCATAGGCAGCAGCTATTTCAGTCACTGTTTAATCAAAAACTCATTACAGGCTTATTCACTTGGGCACAGGATTGTGCTGAACAGAATCCATTCACTCTCTCCCACTAGTCTCACTTGTCCCACTTTGTGGATTCCAAGTCCACCAAATTCCAGCCTGTCAGATGTGACTTTGGAAAAAAGAAACCTCACCTACTCCACACTTTGCATGTTCTCTGTTCTGTCCCACAAGTGTTCCCTGCTGCCCCTAAGGTTACCACTGACCCCACCAAGCCACTGCCACATTGCCAAATCTTCCCAGCCTGAAGCAGCTGTTTCTGCTGCCACTCACACCACCATTTTCAGCACGGTAGATTGTGCCAACAGGAACACCATCAGCATAGATGCTTCTGTTCTTATCATTATTTCCCACTTCCACCCTGAACCAGTTCCCTATGCCACAAGGTTTGAATGCAGGTCATGTGTAAGACAGAGAAATATCTTCTGTTCACCTCCCTGTGTGTGCCTCCAGCTGTCCCGTGGCACATCTCTGGCTTTTCTCTTAAAACTAAATCCAAACACTTCCACCTCTTCTGGATAACTATTTCTCATCTGACTTCTGGAGCGGCCTCTCTCAGCATCTGTCACCTGTTGTTTAAAATCACTCCAGAAGCTCCTTAGAAACACAACATCTGCAACTACATAGCATCACACTCCTGGGAGACCAGTGTCCACTGAGCTTTCAAACGCAGTTTAGGAACAAGCCTGCCTAGCACTTTTGACAGAAGCAGAGTGACTGCAAAACCTCTGATGGGTACCAGCTCAAACACAGCATAAAAAACCTGCTGTTTGGGTTAGTGTGTCAGGAGAATGAAAATATCTGAACACTGCTCAGGGTTCCTGTCCTTTCCCTTTCAGCCTAGTCCTCACAAGGACTGCTCTGCTGCCAAGGTTGATGCGGATTCTCTCACCTGATTCTGTAACCACTGGTTCCTTCAGGAGGACACGTCCCCCTGGCTTAAGTATCCGAGCTACTTCTGCCAGCAGCTCCGCGCTGTGCTGTGCTGTACTGCCTGGCACCAGGCCAGAGAGAACGACGTCGAAACTGGACTCCCTGTGAGCCGCTGGGAAGAGGAAGATGGTACAATTTTATACACACACAGGCACAGCTTAATACACCAGTTCCACCTCCCTCATCTCTCAAGCAGTAACTGATTACAGACAGCAGTCATAGAAGCACAACATGGGTGTATCACTTCCCTTACTGCACGGTCAGGGCTAAGAGCCAGCAGCAGGTGCTGTCAGTGCTCTGAGTGCTGATTCACAGAGTGGGAAGGTGTTTTAACAAAACAGTGACAAATCAAGCTCATTCTTACACTGAGACAGCTGGTTGACGTTTTCCACGGAGACACGATTCTCAGCTCCCACCAGTGCCTGAATTTTATCCACCAAATCCTTCAGGGCTTCAACGGGTGAGGAGCTGTCCCAGATGATGGCCACACGCTGGCCTGGAGTGACTCCGTACTCCCCCATTCCTGTGACAGCAGCAAACCTGACAGCAGCAGAGAGGAACAGGTCAGGGACACAGAGGGGAAGGGCAAGAGCTGAGCACAGCATGAGTCCCTGTGGGCTGTGACTTAATCACAGCGTGTGCACTTGTTTTAATAAGTGGGGATGATTTTCTGGAGATGGACAGCACAAAGTTCCCACAAGTTAAGCATTAACAGGACATTAAGAAAGAGCTACACTTGAGGGCATAATTCAGCTTCTCTCCAGTCCAGGGACTGGTTTTGCTGGGAGACTACAACTCATGCTAACAAAAAAACCCCAACCATCCAGCAAAAAGCTTACCTGCTTTCCTTAAAATTTTGAATAAAGACAAATACAAGATTTCTGAGTTTCCACATGAGTGACAACTATTAGACACTAAACACTGCCTTGTATCCTACTCTGAACATGACCTAGCAGAGTTTGCTTCCACCTTATATGAGAAGGGAAAACAAGAATAACTTTCAACATTCCCAACATTCCAGACTGAGGCTCTTCCCACTGTTAGGATTAGTGACACTGGGTGAGCAAATTACAAGGAGGAGGAGGGGAAGAGATGTGCAGTGAAATGACACCTTTGAGAAAGCTGTTTGCACTAGTATTTTATACAGGATTGTATTCCCAATGGAGCAACAGTATCCAATCACCACCTGCACTCACAGCAGCTACTGAACCCAAGCACCTACTTTCTATCCAACACAAACCTATTTTCTTTCTAATTTAACATGACCACAGAGAACAGAGAACACTGGTGAGCATAGTTGCCTGGTGTATCTTCAATTAAGCTGCAAGCCACACACTTGTTTCAGGAGAGCCTGTTGGAAGCAAAGTCTTTACCAGGAATCACTACCTTGCACATACTGGGTAATGCCTTACTGCCACCACCTTGCCAGAAAAGCACAGCTCAGGGATATGCTGTACCAAATTTAACTGCAGTCAGGTGGGGAGTGGATTTTCACCCACTGTTCCTATTGTTCTGTGTGCCATGGACCCACTCCCTCTCTCCTGGTAACTGCAAACAAGTTCAGAATGGGACAACAAAGGGTCTGGAATACAAGCCTTATGAGGACAGGCTCAGGGAATTGAGGTTGTTTATCCAGGAGAAGAGGAGGCTCAGGAGTGACCTTATCACTCTCCACAACTACCTGAAAGGAGGTTGTAGCCAGGTGGGGTCAGTCTCTTCTCCCAGGCAACTAGTGACAGGAGAGAGAACAGAGTTTCAAGCTGCCCCACAGGAGGTTTAGGTTAGACATTAGAAAGAATTTCTTCATAGAAAGGGCGATCAGACACTGGAACCTGCTGCCCAGGGAGGTGGTGGAGTCACCATCCCTGGAAGTGTTTAAAAAAGACTGTATGTGGCACTTAGTGCCATTGTCTAGTTGACATGGTGGTGTTAGGTCAGAGGCTGGACTTGATGATCTCAGAGGTCTTTTGATTCTGTGAATTCACAGTAATGCAGCTACAATGCCAATCAGGTAAGGAGTGGAAGATCTTGATGTACAGTGCAGGTCACAGCACCTCACATCTGGCCCTGTGTCAAAGGCTAAGCAGCTACAGCAGACAGTAACACTAGTTTATGTTAACATTTTAATGTTAACACAGTAATCCCATAAAAAGGTCACCTTTCCAATAAGAAGGCTAAAATCCTCAAAAAATATGCAAGTTGTTAGGCTAAGGTGGAAAAGATAAACACAAAGTCACATTTTCCTCTCTGAATATCAAGCTGTGACCTTTCAAGATCAGTCAGAGCCCAAATTGCAGCAACAGCTCCCGTGCCCTGAGATGCACCCAAGAGGCCGCGGGGAGGCCAAGGGCTGGCTGGGTGGGTGTTGTCCTTATCTGGCAGTCACACCACCCCAGCAGTCCCTGAGGAACACAACAGCCAGCACAGGGCAAGCAAGGAGTTAAACAGCGCTGGAGGTTCCTGCTGCAACAGATTAGAGAACTGCAGCGCTGGAATGAGACGGAGGTTCCTGTTCAGCCCTAACCATTCCAGGGTTCTATAGCACATCAGGACAGTAAACTCGAGACTCCTGACCACCACCGACAGCTTCCAGCGGGCAGGAGTGCCCCAGCTTCCCAAGGCCCAAGGCTCTGCTGCACCTATGTATTTCACACCCATGAAGAACGGGCAGAATAACCCTCTGGGTCACAGAGCTGGGGCGGATTGGAGGGGGATTTCGCGAAGGAATAAGACACACAGACAGGCACAGAGATACACACAGAGGCACAGACACAGACAGGCCGTTCCCCCCTCCCCGCACCTCCTCAGACGAGGCTTCAGGAGAGACCTTTGAAGGGCAGAGGATGCCGCGCTG